GAGCGGACAACCCCAGACGGTCAGGGGGGTCCCGGATGTCCGTTCAGGTAACCTAGGTTCAAACTTCAAAGAACCCACCATGAGCTACCAGCACCTACTGTGCCGTTTAGCATAATTTATTAATTGTCAACTAATTGACAAATTGTACACAGTACACAAGTACCGTAAGAGTACATAAGCATGGTACATAAGTGCATAAGAAGTTCTAAGTACATAGTACATAAAGTACAAAACTGGATAGCACAAAAAATTCAGAGTACATATGTTATTACGTTTTAACTTCTAAGTACATAGTACATTAGTACATTAGTAAATTAGTACAAGTGCATAGTACAGAAGTTCATAAGAGTGCTAAAGAGTACGGATAGTACATTAGTACATAAGTGTATAGCACAAAAGTTCAGAGTACAGACGCTCGAAGTACATAGTAGATTAGTACATAAGTGCATAGCAAAGAAGTTCATAACAGTGATAAAGAGTACGTAAGTTCTAACTAGTACATAAGTACATGGTGCAGAAGCACATAGGTGACATAGCGAATAGTACAAAGGTACATAACAGTGCTAAATAGTACGTAAGAACGTAGTATATGTACATACCAACCATTGCTAAATAGTACATAAGCACATAGTACATGCTGCACAGTACAGGTACTAAGTACATACCGAAAAGAGCTAAATAATGCATAAGCACATAGTACATAGTACAAGTACATACCGAGTGCACATAGTACATTAGTACATACCACAAAGTGCTAAACAGTACAAACTTGCTGCAAAGTACATAACCGACTGCACATAGTTCCTTGTGCATACCAAGTGCACTTAGTACATAGTACAGGGTACAAAATCAACACACACAGTACTACACAGTGTACACACCAACCATATGTACAAGTACATAGTCCATACCAAGCCGCGCGCCAATGTATTTGGTACATAGCACCACCAGTTCTAGCTCCTCATGATGATGAAAGTGACCAGAGGCCTACACCCCCATAAGATGCCCCTCCAAAACAATACGGACATTAGAAGTACAAGAAATGTGAAGAGGCGAACAATCCAGGCATAAGCCAAGGACATGAAACCCTCCACCATGGTTACCCCCATTTGTGTGCAAAACAAATTGACTGGAGTACGAAGCGAAGAGAGACAGGCCTTGAGGGATATAGCTTCTCGGTGCTTAGTACTGCTTACCCTCGAGAACTCCAAGCCTGGATATATTACGTGGCAATTTGAAAGCTCTCTTATCCTCTCATCAAGGGCCTGTCACTCACCCGGTCACACGATTGCCAAAACAATGGACCAGATCTGTAAACCAATATATGTGACAATCCTGATTCCAGATTCCAGATTCCTGATTCCTGTGCGTGATATTTCCCACCCTTCTTTTTCAAATACTCTCTCTTTTCAAATACTCTCTCTCTCTCTCTCTCTCTCTCTCTCTCTCTCTCTCTCTCTCTCTCTCTCTCTCTCTCTCTCTCTCTCTCTCTCTCTCTCTTCGGAAATCGCAGACCATACCTTGAAGCAGGCAAGATCTGATATACACGTGCCAGCCTAAGGACTAGTAAGGAGGGAAACCCACCCTGTGAAAAGGCACAACTCCATCCCTCCACTGCGTACACATGACCCAAAAGAAAAATAAATACTTTCTCCCTGAAGGCAGATAACAGGATAAAGAGAGGAACAGGCAAACTGTCTCTTAGCTCTCCACCCTTCTCCTCCCCCCCTCA